GGGTGGGTGAGTGAGTGTGCGCACACCCATTTATATGTCTGTGTCTGTGTGCAACTGACTACCAACAGCCTCACTGCACGTGGTCTTACTGTGCTCGCTGAGAACTCACCAGGTTGGCGCCTGAATGCCTTACTCTCAGCAGTCTGAGGCTTGCTTGCTCTGTGCAGATTTTTAATTTTCTTTTTTGGCCCTAGGCTGGTTAGGACCTCTACAGCTTCATACTATCACCATTAAATAGTGGCCTTTTTCAGTATTTTTTCCTTACCCTTTAAAAATTGCTGAAGCCACAAAGCACATTTTTGGGGATCATAGAAGGTTGGGGTTTCAGAAAGGCACCCTATGTGATGGTTCCACACACCATGGGATTTCCCTACTTAATGTATTCTCAACTTCTAATAAAAGGAACCAAATGGAAAATGAACTTATGTTGTGTATTTTTTTACTACCAAAGCTTTTGGCATTTCTGACTTGAAGTTTCAATTTCAGCACTGAAGCTTAAGGTATTTTGAGGAACTTTGTAGTCTGAATTCATAAACCAAAGTGTTCATGCCCAGCTCACTTCTCAACCTTTCTGACGAGGTTTAGAATGGGGGGGAGGGCTAACTCCAAGGGGGCAGTTCTTAATTTATTATTAAAGTTTATGAAACTAATACCTAATATAATGAACACATATGCACAGGGGTCTGTTAAAGGACTCTTGCTAGTTCATGTAACCCCAGCCACTACCCTATGAACTGATCAGGTCACATTTCATCGGTGTAAAAACTTTAGTGTAGAAAAGTGTAGGTGGACTGCTGGCTCTCTCTAAGAAGAAAATTCAGATGAGACAGTCTTACATATATTGACTTAAAAGTTTTGGGGATTATTAACCCTTCTATGTAACTAAAGAGGACTTCTCTTTTTTCTTAGGTAAATTTAGTTTTGCAGAGAATTTCCAGTATTGGGATAATGTGTCCACTCTGAGTTCTCATTTTTAAGTATAGATAATACTTAAGGGTTTCCCATATTCGTAGAGAACACTGGATTGCATTTTGCCCTTGAAGAATAAGGTGATGCCTACAAATAACTTCGTTTTTTCCTAGCCTTTTGCACAAGCTGTCTATATGCTTGCTTTCTCGGGTGAGCTCTGGATATTGTGAAGGAAATAATAAGGCCAAGTTTGAATTTTGACTACAGAATGGTAGGTCTAGAGAAGCCTCTGAGCAGTGTTGCTTTAAAATTACCCCAGAAATAATATTCTTACCTCGAATATTTTGCTTCAGTTACAGCACATTCTGTATTCCCTCAGTGGGCATGAACTATGGACCACCACTCCCTGTATCCTAATGCACTAACTTTTTTCTGCCTTCAACTATTTGATTTGGTGAAACAAAGTCAATCTGGTTCTTGTAACTTCTGCTTGTGAAGGCATAGAGGGGACTTGGCGACCTAAGGAAGTGGGGATCCAGCTGCATGACCACAAAAGCCTCTCATTACTGCCCACCAACCTCCCCCGCCAGCTACACTGACCTAGAAATAGAGCCTTAGGTTTAGAGCCCAGCTCTGCCATTTGAAAGGTGACAGGCAAGTCATTTCTTCAGCCTCTTTTCTCACCTATTAAAATGGGGTTTCTAACATCCTTTGCATCTTTCTGTGAAATGCTCTTACAGATCAACATTTCTCTAATTTCCCATCGTGATTGGCTGGCGTTTCTGTCAAACTCTTGCTCTAACACCTCCCTCTTGTGTTCTGTGACATCCCTTGTGCCCCCCCCCC